AACGTTTTTTAAGTGTTCCAATCTCCAGAACTTTTTCATCTTGCAAAGCTGAAACTCTGTACCTATTTAACAATTCCCCATTGCCTTCTCCCCAGCCTGTGGCAGCCGCCATTCTACTTTCTGTCTCATGAGTTTGATTATTCTAGGTACCTCATATAAGTGGAATCATATAGTATTCTCTTTCTGTTTGGTTAATTTCACTCAGCATTATGTCCTCAGGATTCATTCATGCTGTAGCATGTGTCAGAATTTCTTTCCTTTTTAAGGCCAAAAAATATTCCATTGTATGTATGTACCAACTTTTGTTTATATCTTTGTTCATTGATGGACACTTGGGTTACTTCTACCTTGTGGCTATTGTGGGTGATGCTGCTATGAATCTGGGTGTACAAATATACTTTGAGACCCTGTCTTCAATTCTTTTGGGTATATACTCAGAAATGGAGTTGCTAGATCAGATGGCATTTCTTTTTAAATTTTTTGAGGACCTGCAATATTACTTTCCATAGCAGCTACCACACCTCATGTTCCCACCAACAGTGTACAAAAGTTGGAGAAATGTCTGTTCTGCTTCTTTTCCCATTTTTCAAATTGTTGTGTTGTGTTGTTCTTTTGGGTGTGTTTTTTATTGTTGAGTTGTAAGAATTCTTTAAATGTTCTGGATATTAACCACTTATCAGTTCTTTTGGTGTCATATTCATGAAATTCTTATTAAATCCCATGTTACAAAGCTTTCTTTTATGTTTTCTTCTAAGAGCTTTAGCTTAGGTTTACATCTTTTATCCATTTTGGTCAATTTTTGTCTGTGGTGTAAGATAAGGGTCTAATTTCATTCTTTTGTATATGGGTATGCAGTTTCCCCAGCACCATTTGTTGAAAAGACTGTCCTTTCCCACTGAGTGGTCAGGAATTCATTTCTTGGATGAAATAAAATACTGTACATGAAGCACCTGAGGACATGCCTAGCTGTGTCTTAAAAAAGTGATAGTCCCTCTATTGTCCCCTTATTTGAGATGTAGTTTTTTAACTACTGAAGTAGATTTTTAATATTATGATAGCAACTACCTGATAGTACTGACTCTGTGTGAGGTCCTATTCCAGGGGCTTTACATATATTAACTCACTGGATTGTCCTAACAACTCTGTGGGCTGGGTACCGTTGTTTTCACTTGTGTACAATGAGGAAATCGGCCACTTAGAAGTTAAGTAACTTGCCTAAGTCACATATCTAGTAAGTGGTGGAGCCTGTATTCAAACCCAGGTAGTTTGGCTCCAAAATCTGTGGGTTAGTAAACTTAACGTCTCCCTGGTTGTTGTTTTTTTTTCCTTCTTTCGGCTGGGTGAATAACAAGGTGGGGTTGTCTTAGCCCCTTTCCTTCTTCAGGGGGTCTGGGATGGAAATGGTGGGGACAGGATATCCTTAGTGTGTTGGGGGATCGATCTGGGGCCAGGACTCGGCAGCAGCTGAGGGCCCTCTCCTTCTCACTGGGGCTGCTGGTCCAGGGGCTCTTACTCCTTGGCGACCATGGGGACCATAAGGTCCACCACCCTCTTGCTGTAGCCAAATTCATTGTCAGACCAGGAAATGAGCTTGACAGAGTGGTCACTGAGGGCAATGCCAGCCCCAGCACCAAAGGTGGAGGAGTGGGTGTCACTGTTTAAGTCACAGGAGACAGCCTGGTCCTCAGTGTAGCCCAGGACGTCCTTGAAGATCCCTCTAACACCTGTTTCACCACCTTGATCTTTTTATAAAAATTTTATTTCAGAGCGAGGAAGGGAGAGGGAGAGAGAGATGGAAACATCAATGATGAGAGAGAATCACTGATTGGCTGCCTCCTGCACGCCCCCTACTAGGGATCGAACCTGCAACCCTCACCACCTTCATAGTATTTGGCCACTTTCTCTAGGCAGCAGGTCAGATCCATCACCAACACACTGGGAAAGGGGCAGGCAAAGTGGGTGAACTTCCTATGCAGCTCAGGGAGGACCTTGCCCACAGCCTTGCAGCACCAGTAGAAACAGCCCCTCAGCATCACACCACAGCTTCCCAGAGGGCCATCCACGGGCTTCAGGGTGACAGTGATGGCGTGGACTGTGATCATGAGTCCCTCCTCGATGCCAAAGTTGTCATCGATGACCTTGGCCAGGGGCACCAAGCAGTTGGAGGTGCAGGAGGCATTGCTGACAATCTTGAGGGAGTTGTCACACTTGTCATGGTTCACACCCATCACAAACATGGGGGCATCTGCAGAAGGGGCAGAGATGATGACCCTCTTGGCTGCCCCTTCAAGTGAGCACCGGCCTTCTCCATGGTAGTAGAGTCACCGGTGGACTCCCAACATACTCATCACCAGCTTCACCCCATTTGATGTTGGCTCTCATTCCTGAAAGATGGGGATGGGTTTTCCACTGATGACAAACTTCCTCTTCTCAGCCTCGACTGTGCCTTTGAACTTGCCATTGGTAGAATCATGCTGGAACATGTAGATCAAGCATGTCAAACTCAAAGGCTAACACGGGCCAAATAAACAAGGTATAAGTGTATGTGGGCCACAAAAACATAAAAGCTTCAATTTTCATAGAAACTTGGATTTATTTTAATAGAGAAATGCTGAATACAAAGGGCTGAAATAAATGAGTAATCGTTAACATAAAATAATAGAACATTTTAATAAAAATTAATATTTTATCTTGAACATTAACTTACCAGACACTGGATAACTGCACAAATTAATAAGCGTAACACAAATAAACCTATTCTTGTTCTCCAAAAGTGAAATATTTCCTGTTGCACACACAAAACAAGTCAGTCTAAGACTAATGACTTGGCAATCGACTGCTAAAATATTTGGTGCTGGTATTAGTGGAGAGAAATGGTGCACCTGCATGCAAGGCGCGTAAGGGAAATGAATGCAACATGATTATAGTAATCAGTCTTTAGCAAACGTTGT